TCAGATTTTTGGTGAATTGCCCTTCTTTAGCGTACTTTCCTTCAGGTCCATGAAGCGCAGTAGTCTAAGAGACAAAATTATACCAAGACACGTTAGAATGCAATAATACAAACTCTTAATGTAATAATTTTCACTTACTCTTATAAAATTGACAATTTCTTGTCTTTTGACATAATTTATTTTCAAGGAACAGCCCCAAGAAATCAAAGCAAGAGGGCGATCAGGGTCCAGATGAACGTATGGTGTTATAATGTGTTTACGGATACATCCTCGAACAATGGCACGTAATCTATTAACCATAAACGGATGTGCACACGGATGGTATAACATAACAACGGCTCCATGCTACAAAGATAAAAATCAAATCAATTTTGGAACAATCGAATATCAAATTCCGAGAAAAACAAATTACCTCTATGTTATGAAGCCATCTTTGTGGAGGAACGTATTTGTATTCACCGAAGACCGGCCACAGTGGTCTATGGTCTCCGTAAGTGGGGAGAGTCACGTTATATGAAAGCTTAGTGTCCATACAAAAATGTTGAGGCTAGAGAAATGCAAGAAAACAATTATTCAGCTTGTATACGCGTAACGGCTCTTATAATTTAAATTTTTGAGAGAGTTAATTATACATACATAATAATCAGACGGAAGTTGAACACATTCTTGAATGCTTTTTATTCTTTTCACTGGATATGGATTTTTTGGGTGAAAGCAAAGGTAATCTGTTGGCGAATTATTCCAGTCAAGTTCCAAGTTCGTCTATAAATACAAAATGCAAATGAACAATTAGTCTAAGCGTAAAATTTATAAGGGAAACGGATGAATTAATTAGTAGATGATATCAGAGAAAACAGAGAAAATAATTACTTTAGCATCGTCACATCCTTGAATTACTTTACCCATTTGGGATACCATGTTTAGAGTCAGTAAATTGATCAGTTATGTTAGCTGATTGGACCAAGAAATTTGATGAAAAATATGAACAGATGATAATCAAAATTGATAAATAAGTAGCCATCGTAGTCAGTATCTGTATCAAAAATTTGCTGATGTTTTTTGGTGAAAAATAGAGTTTTGTAGACTTTATGTTGAACGATAACTCAGGAGAAATGGCTTTCGTACTTTCACTTTCTTCTTCAAGGAAAACCAGTTGATCAACTGGAACTGGTAACCTCGATGAAGTGGAATGAACAATTCACTTTTGTTTATTGTGGCCTGGTTTGAATTGCAGTTCCTCCACCTCCTTCTTTCTTATTTAACTTTTTGAGGAGAGCTGGTCCCAACTTAAAATCCAAAAAAAAAATCAAGATTGATTGTTAAACCTCCTCTTCCGTTGTTATCAAGCGAGCTTTGAATAGAGAAGTGGAAAGCAAAAAAAGTTGAATTAACAAAACAGGTTGTAGAAAGCAAAGAGTTATTAGTGAAAAATAATCATCATAGGTTTAACAAATTGATTTGTCGAGTACGATAGCAACCATGGAAGTTTCAAAGACAAGATTCGGATCAAATGACAAATGCAAAAACAAGAACGAATGTAGCTAGATTGTTCGATTAGATACCAGGGTTATAGAAATGAAGGTTCTAAGTTTATTTTTTGAAAATTATTATTGTTTTCAAAAAGCCATAGGATGTTTGTTATGCAGCTTTACAGAGACAAAGAAAATGGGTCAAGAAAATAAAAACACCAGTTTTACGCTTGACAGATGATGGTCAAATATGATGAATAATCTAAGGACAGACAACATAACAGACAGGAGAACAAAGGTTTCATGAACGAATTTTGCTCGATTAATAAGTAGAAAATAACAGAAAACGAGAAATAAAAAATCTAATGTGACGAACAAGAAAAAATTATAGCGGGGAACCACAATTAATACAGAATGTTACTTACTCTTAACAGGATGGTAATGCAGATAACACTGGTAAAAGGGATAATATGTTTCCCATTTGAAAACAGATAATATCAAAAGTGATATCTCACAAGTAATACATTGAAACTAGAACAGTAATAATGAGAATCATGAAATTTCAACAACAATCAAGTGTTACAACTGCAATTGAAAATGAAGAGCAAGAATGGAGGAAAGAAAGTAATGTTGTTGTCACTGCACATGAAAACAAACTCATTTTTTAAAAAGCTCACTCTAATATTATTCAACAGACGGCAGCATAAATATAAATAGATATCGATATCAAATTAAAATATCAAAATATTTTCACGCAATTTTTTAACGGCTGGCATCTTGCACGGCTTCTGTGTCCAATAAATGAACTTATTTTTAAAAGGTTGAGACGAGACTTTTCCTTGCAAGTTTATTTTATTATTTGAAGATACATTTCTAGATTAATGCAAGTTCTATCATTTGTTTCATGCGGATTCATACCATTTAAATTGACCACAATTACTCGTTTGAATTAAATGTGAATATGAATTGAATTTATTCTGCAAGCAGATAACCTGAGTCAGAGAAGACTATTGATCCAGTCATGTTACTTGAGGCTTCAGATGAGAGGAAGGCAATTACATTTGCAATTTCATTTGGATCCCCAACTCGTCCTAGAGGTTGTCGTTTGTCCATATCTTCATATACAGTGTTTGTGTCAGGTACAAGTGGAGACAAAAACCTAGTTCGTACTGGACCAGGATTGACTGAGTTTACTCGAACATGTGGAGCCAGTTTAAGTGCCATTGTTTTTGTGAACATATCAAGAGCAGCTTTGGACATAGAATAGTACCAGAATTTTTCACTCTGTAAAAAATGATTGATTTAGTCATTGGGAATTGTTATATTAATATTTTTATGAGATAAACTTACCGGTTTCACAGCTACAACACTGCTAACATTGACAATCAATCCTTTAGATTTAACCAAATGAGGAATAGACAATTCAGTTAAACGGACAACAGATCGAACGTTAACTTGTTGAACTCGATCATAATCATGAATATAATCAGGATCTCTTATGTCTTTAGTACCACCAAGACCAGCATTGTTAACTAATATATCTAAATGTTTGTAAGCAGAAATCGTCTCTTCAAAAGTTCGTACAACATCTTCATCTCTCGTGAAATCAGCTTTAATAACAACAGGCTTGTAGTTGTGAGGCGATTTGGCTTCACATTCAGAGGCTACTTGATCAAGTTTAGTTTGATCACGTCCAACTATGGCCACTTTAGCACCTAATGATGAAAAGAGTACAGCTGCTGCTTTTCCGATTCCATCACTAGAACCAGTAATTAAGGCGACTTTATTGTCAAGATTGATCATTTCGTAAATTAATTAGTTGATTGAGACAGTATTTAAAATTAGCAAACAATGTTAATGAGTTTTAGTTGAGTTACTTTTTAATGACAACTCTTAAGAAAAAACTCAGCTTAAATAGTAAATTAGATTGATCCAGAATGAACGATGATGATGACTTAAAAGGCGTTTTTAATTGTAATCCTCAGCCAAGATGAGTACTTAAGTATCTAAAACTTTATGTAACCAATGAACTTGAATTTTCAATTCTTAATTGTAACGTTTGTAAATATTGTTCGAGATTGATTCAGAGAATAGATTAAAAGTCTCTATGTACGTAAAAATCATAGCGAATAATCTTTTTCAGATTAAATGTCTCTTTTAATATTCGTCAACATTATAAAAAATCGCGATTAAATGAAGAATATAGTTTGAAGGGTAGAGTTACCCAAAACCAAATTAAATCATTTAATCATCATCACAAGGTTACTGATAAGAGTTGAAAGTTTTAAACTATTATAATCCCTAAAGACTTTCTCACATATTTCATAATTTCAGTTAACCAAATTTGTAATCAAAAAGACTAAGTCTAACATTTTCTGCTTTTTCATTTTTCTTTCTAAATCACTGTCTAATTATCTTTCTATTTTGTCTAAGACTTTGATAAGATTTCCTTTTCCAGGAAACTGTTCTATTCTTTTGTTCCGTTTAGATTGGTATAAATACCAATTGATTTTCAATAATTAATTGTCTTACGATGTTCAGTTTTCCATATTCATTTGATTTATGTTTAAAACAATTTAATAAGTGATACACATTTAAAATATAAGTTCTTCCTGAACCCTCTTTGAAATACAGTCAATTTTCATTTAATAAAATTTCCTTTTGTTTAAACCTGATAAGTTTCCATATTCAAGACTAAGTCTAATTGTTCATCATTACCCCTGTAAAGTATTGTGAAAGTACGATTTTCCATCTTTACTCTTAATTGTGTTTAAGTACATCCTCAAGATTGCCTTGTGTCTAAAGTTCAACAATTGAAAAGACTAAGTCTATGCTGTTAGAGCTTAAAGCTAGCGAACTCATCTTAATATTCCTGATACTGGTATCTGAGCTTTACTGTTCAACCCTCAGCTTGTTTTGGTTGGAATTTGGTTTTATTGTTTAAAAGCTTTATTACTCGCTCGTGCCTAGTTAGCTGTTATACGCTAGTTTACCTGTC